TCGAATCTAGAAATAATTTCCAGTCGATCTCCTGAGCCATCAATTTCTTTTTACTTACATCAGATTCAATAGAAAATATACAACTATTAGTATTTAGTAAAATCCGATGAACAACTTTTGTATCTAATATTTCCTAGACGAGGTAAACAAAAAATAAAATAAAAATAGACAGTAGTTTACTTTAAACATGGAAGATATACTTTGTATATAGAACACTGTTCGTGAGTGAAGACACTATGTGTAAAGTAAACTCGTACCCAGCGTTCATATAGGTTGCCTAAAGAGCTGTGTCAAATATGAAAGAGTAATAGGATTTGAAAGACAGAGAAACGTTCCAATAAATCTAAAGATTAATTGATAGATGTCAGGATATCAAATACATCACTATTTATTACAAAATTTAGAAGATAAAAATTTGTATACGATGAAAAGCAAAGTGTAAATTATTCTAAGCAAGTATCTCTTTGACATTTTGTTTTCATGAGCAATGTGTGAAATAGAGTGTCAATCAAACATCGTAAGGTTCTTCAACACTTTGTCATTATGGTGGATCCTTGCTATTAGAATCATGTACATTGCACGTGACTATTCATATGTTAAGTAATGGTGACAGTTTTATGTTAATTTCTAAAATCCTTCATAAATTTATGTCGGTGAATATTACGGTTGTAGAATCGATAGGTTACATAGTAAACGTTAACCGATCACTTCTTAAAATAATTGAAAGTATTGATAAACAGAAACGACATCATAAGGGCTATTTAACATATGAATAGCCATTTGTATTAGCATAGATTTGCCTCTATCAACAACAATCTTTATTTAGAAACGAATCGAGAGACAAAAAGAAAAAGAATTACTCAAGAGTTAAAATACGTTTAATTAAAATTGCGAAAAAGCATTGTTTTGAAATTTATGCATATTTGAGATATTTATTTCGTCGTCAATGCTGAAGTTAACGAATTCAAATCAAATCACTCGACATATGTAACATTCTTCGCCTCGTTTTATTGTTCTTCTTTCAGGGTTTTATTTGGATAGAATCTATTTATAGTACAAAAAACTCGTTATTTTATCAATTGACATAATAAAGTTAATGTTTTGTTTTTTTGGTAAATATATTAAAAAGAATAATCTTTCATTGAATTTACTTTTTATAATTTAAAGCTTGGTTGTTGCATTTGTGTGATATTAAATACAGAAATTAAGATTTTGAAAGTTGAATAGACAACAAAAAATCTTGGAAATATTATTGAATTAATTAATAATATGAACAATAAGGTTAACATTTAAATGATCATTTTGAAAAATCGATTTAAAATATTTTTGTTTTATCTTTCACTTCGCTATAATATTCATCATTTTATATGAAACATTTTAGAAATATTTTTTATTGTATTAAAAACATAAGATTTAACAAAACTTGGTCAGTTTTATGTTAACAAATGAATAAAACAATATCATAAATGTTAATATATATCTAATCGTTATTCGACAAAAGTCAGAATGATCTTTTTGTTAATAATTGAAGACAATTTGAATAATGAACATAAATAGATTTAAGTATATTAGTTCGAATTAGATTATAGTTAACATTTATTTTACTATCTGATTTATCTGTTAACATAAATGAAATTTTGTTTTCTTTTTTTTTTTAAATATTAAAAAACATCAAAAAATCAATTTAAATAAAAAAGAAATATATTTAATATAGAAATATTTAAAAACTAAAATGGTAAAAGATATTTATTGATCATTTTATATTTGAAAGATAATTAAAAAAATTCTATTTGAAAGTTTAATGTTAGCATATTGTATTTGTTGTTGTTTTTCTTTTTATTTATTCAACTGTGTTACCTGAGATTTATTTAATTTGGTTAGAAGATTTTATAATAAATAATCTTATATATTTAATTAAATAAAATCAACATTTTTATTTATTCTTTTACTAAAAAAACAAAAAAAAAAAAATTCATTGCTCAAAGAGATTTTTAAAAACTGTCTTCATTTAAAATAGTTCATAATAAACAATGAATTCATGGAGAAAAAAATAAATTTTTCATTTGTTATTTATATAAAAAAATGTTTGCTTTATAAAATTAATATTCTATATTGATATTTATTATAGAATTTATTCATCATCAATATTACTTAATAATAATTGAGGAAGAAGTTGTGCAGCAGGACCATGAAAATGATAACTAATAACAAGAAACAGAAAAGCAAACAATGAAAAGAATTCGTAAAAAGAAAAAACAACATACGTTGCAATCGAAGTTGATGGTGTTGTTTCAATATTAACTTCAGCAATAGGAACATTTTTCTGTGCAAGAATTGATGCATAACCAGCTGCTGGATAAACAACAGATGATGTTCCAACCTATTTGTTTTTTTTACTTTTTAAATAAATCAATATGAAATAAAACAAAATTTAACATACAACTAGAAACAAATCACATAATTGAATTTCTTTTTCAATTTTTTCTAAAACATCATCCCAAATATGTTCACCAAACCAAACAATATGAGGACGAGCAAGAGATTTACATTTTCTACAACGAGGAAGATCTTTTTCATCAATATCAGGACCATTCTCATCTGATAATCTAAATAAATTATATTTACATATCAATTATTGATAAATAAACAAAAAAGAAAAACCCTCGATTTCTTAATGATTCACAAATAGGACTTGAATTATTTTCTTCAATAAAACCACATAAAGTACATCGTACCATAAAAAGATTTCCTGTATTTTTTTGTTTTTCGTAAATAAAAACAAATAGTTATATTTTGCATAAATATAAATAATAATTTTAACTGACCATGCATTTCAATTAAATTTTTTGTTCCTGCTCTACGATGAAGTCCTAAATAAAATCAAATTTAAAATCATATTGTCAAAGAAAAAACAAAAAAGCGAACCATCCACATTTTGTGTAACAACATTAAATCGTTTTCCTTGTTTTTCGAAATTCCTTTCAGCTTGAGCTAATGCAATATGAGCCTATGAAATGAAAAAAAAAAATTATATAAATAAAGCAAATGAAATGTAAACCTTATTTGGTTGTTTTGTTCTGACAAGTTCACGACGATAATGATAAAATTCCCAAACAAGAGAAGGTGAACGTGAGAAGGCTGTTGCTGTTGCTAAATCCTTTTTATTTGAAGAAAAAAAAAAAAAAGTTTTATTAAAGAATTTCATATGTTAATTAATAAACCGTTGCTCTATATTGTCTCCAAAGTCCTCCAGCTCCACGAAATGTTGGAACACCAGATTCAGCTGATATTCCTGCACCGGTTAATACAAGAACTGAATGAGCACGAGACAATAATTGACGAAATTCAGTTATTTTTCCAGTTGTCTAAATAAAATACATCGATTTATTGAAATAAATATTTATTTATATCACAAACTGTTGAAGCCATTTCACTTTTTTTAAATCTAAAATAAATATATATTAGATTTATTTGTTATATTAAAAATTTATTTTTAGATATGTATATTGAAACATTTTCTATATACTAATAAAAAAAGTCACTGAGATCAATTAATAATCTCTTTAATTAAGCAAGATAAAATAATTATTTTATCATCCGAATAAAAATCAAAATATTTTAGTTTTTTTTTTTTTTAAATTAATCAACAAATATGAAAATGTTAATCAATATAATATATTTATTTTACTTCTTTTTTTCTATAAATTGAACAATTCTTCGAAATAAAATCATAATGATAGATGTTTTATGCTTACGAAAATTGGGATGGGAGGAACGATTGATCCTTGCTGTGATGATTAGCAACAAAAGAAAAAACGAAAAAAAAAATCGATGAGGTGCTCTGATTAATAAAGAAACCTTTTCTAAGACTGTATAGCTATATGATAATTCTCATCAATTGGTACTGTCCTTATTTTATTGAATATTTATTTATGAATAATAATAAATATATTCAAAATGATTTTATTATTTAAAAATTCTTTGATTGATTTGTAAGATCTTTAGTATTCTATAGAAAAAATCAAAATCAAAAAAGAAACAATGAAAAAAATGATTGGTTCGTTTCGAATTCTATTGAATCTATTCTTATCATATTATATTCAATATATAATAAAAAGTAGAGATAGAAAATGAAAAGGTTATTCAGTATCGATTTTTAATCGATCTATTGGACTTTTCAAAATTTTTTCTTATTTACTTTCAATATTTGTTTGTTTTTAAATAAATCGAATAAAATAAATCAAATATTAGAAAATAAATATCTCCTTTAGATATTTAATTAAAAAAAAACCTTAATTAAAAAACAAAAAAAAAAAGTTAATGAAATATATTAATTTCTGAATAATTATTTTGATTTTGAAAATATTCTTTCTAAAAAATCTTCTAATATAATATTAGTTTAATAAAATTTACAAATTAAAATCTCATAAAAAATGATGATTTTTGAGTTTAATTATAAATAAAATAAATTTAATATTTATTATTAAATGATATATTAAAATAAACAATCAATATATCATCATTGAACAAAAAAAAAAAAAAAGAAGATTTTATTTAATACTACATACGTTTTTTCTTTTAAGTTCTGAAATAACTATGCCAAATATAAATTCGTGTTTTTCTCTTGTGGTTTTGTTCTCGTGTGTTTTTTTCTTTTTTATGAGTAAGATATAAAATAGTTTTGATAAAAACAAAAATGATAGAGAAGGTCTTTTCGATATTTGTCATTTTATTTGTTTGAACAGTTGAATTTAATTCGAAGGATTGTTTAGTTATTTAATAAACATAATATTCGTTTTGGTTTTTATTTAATAATTATTAATAAAATTGAATGATTGGTTTATTTATGAGAACGAATTAAAAATCACAATAAAACTTTGTTGTTTATTTATTATATTTTTATTGAAAAAAATTATTGATTTACTAAAATATATTTAAGAAATAAATTAACAATAGTAATCAAAGATATTTAATTTATTTTTTTGATTAATTGAAAAAAAATGTATATTTTGTTAATATTAATATTAATTTGTATATCATATTGTGATATAAATGTGTCAATTGATAATAAAAAAGGTGAATATAATATAATAATTAATAATCGAGTATGGCTTCGTTCATCATATACATGTTTATATAATAATAATAAATGGTTAACATCTAAAGATGAATCTCTTTATTTAATTGATTCATATGTAAAACAAGGATATGATTTAATATTAGGAGAATTTAATGAAACTAATTTTATTTATAATTTTAATTTAAATAATAAATCTTTAAATGTAACTGGAAGAATTCGTCAATGGAAATCAATTCCAGCAATAACATTTCATTTTGATAATAATTTATCTATTTTAAATAATGATATTCTATTGAATATGGATCAAGTTCAAACTGTTTTTCCTTCATTTTATATTGAAAAAATTGATAAAGATGATCATCGAGCTTATTTTACATTTGGAGGTATTTTAACTTCTTTTTTTTTTCTTTCTTTATTTTAAAATAAATAAATATGTTAAATAAAGGAATGATGATGGGTGATCTTGAAAAACATGCTGGAATATGGAATTCAAAAAGTCGATTTATAAAAACTGGTATAAGTGGTGGACCAATAATTATATTTAATTCAAGTGAATATGGTCAACATAATGCTATTATTATTTCATCATTTTCACAATTTATGTCAACTTCTTTATCAATTAATAAAAATATTTTAGAATATGGATATATAGGTTCAATTAAATCAATACCAATTAATTCAAGTTATTCTTTAATTATTTATTATTCATCAAATGGAATAAATCAACTTATGGAACAATGGGGAATAACAATGCAAAAGGTATTTAATAGAACAAATCAATATAGATTAAATGATTTAACTATTAATTATCTTGGTTATTATACTGATAATGGAGCTTATTATTATTATCATACTCTATCTAATATGAATTATGAACAAACAATAATTAAAATAAAAGAAAATTTGTCTCTTCCAATTCATTATATTCAATTAGATTCTTGGTGGTATTATAAAGGTTTAGGTAATGGTGTTAAAGAATGGATTGCTCGTCAAGATATATTTCCAGATGGCCTTAAAGGATTAAATAAAAAATTAAAAAATTTTCCATTATTATTACATAATCGATATTGGTCATCAGATACAATTTATTCAAATAAATATAATTTTGTAATTGATAATTTAAATTTAAAAAGTCTTCCATTAGGTAATGATTCATTTTGGATTGATTTATTTAATAAATCATCAAAAGATTTTAATATTATATTATATGAACAAGATTGGATGAATCATCAAACAATTGATTTTATTCCAATAATTACAGATTTTAATCTTGGACGACAATGGTTAATATCAATGGGTTATGCAGCTAATTTATTTAATATAAATATACAATATTCAATGTGTTTACCACGACATGCACTTCAAGCTTTAGAAATAAATCGTGTTACACAAGCAAGAGTATCTGATGATTATTATGTACATATTCGAAGAAAAATTGATCAATGGAATATAGGTATATCATCTATGTTAGCTAATGCTATTGGAATAGCTCCATTTAAAGATGTTTTTTGGTCAACAGAATATCAACCTGATGCTCCTTATAAATCAAAAGCTGAAGAAATCTTACCGGATAGAGAAATTCTTATATCAACATTGTCAACTGGACCAGTGGCATTTGGTGATGGAATTAATTATGTTGATAAAGAACGTATAATGAGATGTTGTCGTCAAGATGGTCTCATATTAAAACCTTCGAAACCGTTAACTATGATCGATTTATTAATTTCTGATTGGGCTCTTCATCAAGGTATTATACAAGGCGAACTTTATTCAACGAAAACAATTATGTAAAATTCGATCTTTTTTTTTCTTTTTTATATTTCAATTAAAAAAATAATTTTCTGTTTTCTTTTTCTTAAGAAATGATAAAATATTTTCTATAATATTTGCATCATCAATGCGACGTAGTTATTCAATAAAACCTTCAATGATTGGATCAAGTGATGGAATTATTTGGTCATATGATAATCCATATGATATATTTAAATTTGATGAAAATCATTCACTTGAAATATCAAATAAAAAATGTCATTTTAAATCATATTGTCTTTGGTATAGTTCACCAATATTCATATTTAATGATTCTTTATCAACTAAATATTCTTTTATGGGTGAATTAAATAAATGGACATTTATTAGTCAACAAAGATTTACTTCTTTAAAAATTAATTCTCAAAATACACAAATGACAATTATTGTTGAAGGTGTTAACAATGAATTTGTAGATTTATTGGTTTATCATTCGAAATTTGAATCTATTATTCATGTTATTTGTCATTTTCATTTCAATCATCTAAAAGCTCAAGTCATTATCAATTCTACAAATGTTATTTGTTCATAATATATATATATACAATTGAACATTTTTTTTTTATATATGTATATATAAATTAAGATTTTATTTTTGTTATTTGTAAATAATGACAAGTTTTGTTAGATAATTAAAAATAATCTAACCAGTTATTGAAATCTAATGTAAAATGAAAGAGATTTTTGTAAATATATGATTAATTGTTCTAATTGAATATTTCAATTGATAAATAAACATCTATAATAGAATAGAAACAAATCATGTCAATTGAAGTTATTTGATTTTCTATGAATATTTTTAAACAAACCGAGAGAAAAACAAATATTTATTGTTCAATGGTAACAAGATAACAATAAACGAAAAGATAAAATAGATTTTTTTTAGTATTTTTTAAAGTAAAATTGATAGAAGAAAAATTAAATCAAATCAAAGTTTCATATATTCAAGTTTATCAGTCGTAATGGTATTCGGTCAAATAGTCACACTGATTGATTTGATTATCTCAGTTATAAACTTGACAGGTAGTTAAATAAAATATAGTTAAAACATATGTTGCTACTTAGAAGATAAATTAGCTTGAGAAAAATGATTGAATTGTTCTACTCTACTCAAATCAACATATTGTTGAGTATTTCATAGTTATTGAGTATTTTATCTACCTGCAATGCAGACATGAGAGATTTAAGTTATCTTAATAATTATCTAATAATTTTTTTGAACAATAAAATTAGAATAAAACAAACTTTCGATAACCATGTAATAAATAAGAAACTATCAGATTGATAGGATTTGTTGAGTTGAGTATGCAAAAATCATTAAAAACTCTTTTCGTATATGTTAGATTATGTAATATATGCTTATATTATATTGATTATTAGAAAAAAAAACGATGAGCGTATTAAGATCATAGGATAAAATGATCTAGATATTTATTGATTAAGCTAAACAAGGTCAACTAGAGCTAAAGGATTTTGATTGAGCTTGTTTTCGTAATTGATCTTGGAAAAAAAACAACAATCGTTTTATTTGTGAAAGTAATATTTCACAGTAAATAAAATATACTGATTTTGAACAGTATGAAATAATGAACAATTTAAATTCGAAATCGACCATTACTGTTTGATGCAACTCAATTAACATCACCCTTGAGTAGCTTTACTTAACGGTTAATATTCATAAAAATATGGACGATAGGAATCACTTAATTCATTAATATTTTACAGTTCATGCATTTCTTTCCTTATGATTGATTATGGAACAAATAAATTTAAATCAAATGAAATCTTTAGTATGTCTTTCAGCTGTAGTGCAGAGGCTTTACTGAAATTATCAGCCGTTTACCATGAGGTTTTTGCTTGAGATATGCGTCAAACAAAGGTCAAAATTAGTTCGTTTGATCTTGAAAAATTACGTTTGGCTTTTCGTTCTATATATTAATTTTTTTATTTGAAAAAGCATGTTAGAATATTATGTTAAAACATCCCTAGTTTTTGAAGTTTTTTTTCGGAGCATTGAATTAATAATTTTTTTCCTTCTAGACAAAACAAAAATTTAAAAAGATGGCTTCGACAGCTGCTGTATTCTGACATGCACTTTAAAACGAAAAAAGATGAATATATACAATGAAGAGTCAACAATAATTTTCGGTGACCAAACAAGCTACTGTTGACCTTTATTTGATGCATATCTTCCGAAAACCTCATGATAGACGACTGAAAATTGTAGAAAAGCCTGTTCACTATAACCCAAACATATTCGAAAATTTCATGTAATTTGAATGCACTTGACCGAAAAACAGTCATGAGGAGACACAGAGCATGAATATGAAGTTTAAGTTATCTCTGTTAATACATTACCTACTTAAGGTTAAGAGGATAATTAGTTGATATGCGAGCAATACTGTTTCATTCAATTTTTTCGAGATTAGAGAAGATCTATATGCCAAAAATAGCGATCTTCTCCTAAAACTTGAGTAAAAGTTGTCTGAATCTCTATTCGGTTTTCCAAAGTTCGAAGGTGCGTATTGTTAGGCTTCAAAACTCTAAATTTTGACACTGTTAGTCAAGTGTTATTAAAAAGAAATGTTATTTTCGAAAACGGTGTTGATGTCAGTGTTGATCTTCTATTTGGTCACAACAACAACAACCACGTCCATATCCTACAGTCAGACCACTCATCTACACACATCTCATTCTCATAGTCTAGCAAAAACAGTCATTGGAGAGTATTTATAGAATGATGATCAATTGTATGATCAATTTTCTGGTCTGCAACTCACGCTTGTTTGCAATCAAATATAGTACTCAATGATATTTCTATTACCTTATACTTTTATCTATCAATTGAATTCTTGACGCTTAGGATACCTTGGATCAGAATTCCAACATTTCTTGAATGGATTAGTTGCAAACCTATTCCAAATCTAATTGATTTAACTCCGAATATTATTCCTTGGGCTCTATGGATTGAATAATTCGATGGCTTGAGTCGAGTAAATTATGAAGAAGAAACTTCGTGATGAAAAAATCTAATTGAACTTTCAAGTGTTAATGATGAGAGTAAGTAGATAGGGATTTGATATTGTAGTGAATAGGAAAGAATAGTTATAGGAGATAACAGCCGTGACCATCGTCATTTTTCTTCAAATTCTGTTAGATAAGTTTGTCTGAACCGTCAATTTCAAAATGTTCGAAGTTGATTAAAACAGTGAAGTCAATATCTCGAGTATTGTTATTAGATTTGTCAAATATTCATTTTCATATTATATTGATTTTTTTCCAAAGATGAAATTATATCGATTCTTCAATCGAGAACTGTTCTTTTTTGAAAATTGAAAACATGAATTTACGTTGTAACGATATCAATGATGTCAGCACAAGATATTTCCGTCTTTGCTATTTATGTATAGCATCTTATCTTCATTAATGGTATCGATAACAACAATCAGTTCGATCTGTAAATAAGTTCTATTTTGTTAATTAGGATATGGTCGAAAATCTGAAGGAAAAAAAGAAATTATCGAACCAATCAAATATTCGAAGTTTTGTTAGTTTCTTGATAACTTGTTCAAAGACAAAAGTGAAAATCCAATGACATGTGATGATGGTCGATACTCCTTTATTAATAAGAAAAATATTTATGATTATTATAGAGAAAGACGGAAGATGTGATACTTTAGTCAGAACAATAATTATTTCTATTTGAGATAGCTGATCTTCTCATTGATTTCTGTTGTTCAATGGTATATCTTATTTAAAATTTCAAAGCAAATGATTTCGTCGGCCAATGTAACATATCAAATAGAGATACCTCATCTTGCATTTAATCCCAATCGAAGATTAGGCGACTCGGGTGTATTATCGTATTCCTTAATCTTCTTATGCGTTTTCTCATTACAGATTTGTAATAGGATGAAAAATGCATCTATCACGCCTCTTTTCAATATTCTATTACAATATTTTGAGCTACGACAAGTCATAAGTTCAAGTAACACAGAGTCATCGTGATAAAAGAATGAAAATCACGTTCTATCTTTTGAAATAGCTCATTTCTAAAGCAGATTGTTGTCGATACTAATGCGATACTATTAGGTGTCAAATAGTTTTATAGAAAACATCCAGAAGTATGAACTCATTTCATGCATGTATAAGAAGCAAAATGAGTAGTTTTTTAATGAAATGGATCTTGTGACTAGTTCTAGGGATAAGAACCAAAATCAAATTGATGAGGGTACCAAGACGCTAAGCGAAAGAATTGTGACCATAAGAAAAACAACTTATCTGAGAGACGCTGTGCGTATAAACATATTTTTTTGTAATGATGCCTTTATAATTTAATCAAAACTTCGATTACCTATTCCCTTATTTAGATATTCCTTCGGATATCATTGCACCTCTGCGTCACAAGTAGATTACTCATAAAATGTTATGGTGTCTCAGTTATAAACGAATAAAGAGTAAAATTTAAAGGTCTAAAAAATTCTGTAAGCGATTAATGTTTTTTTTAAAGTACTTAACCTAGTTTTCAGTTCAAAAAGATGTCTAATTCTAGAAAGACATTAGCAGATTTTGGTAACTGTATTCAGTTAATCGTATATTACCATGATCGACCATTATATTGATACACTCAATAATGTGATCAGTTACATCACACTCATCGTACCATATTTGGCTATTATTGTTGGTACATTGGGTGCTCTCTGTAATTTTCTCACATTTACTGCAAGACAGCTACGCAAGAATGCATGCGCTTTCTATTTCTTATGTTCGGCTGTGTTCGATCTCATCTCGCTCTTATTTGGTGGTCTCACACGGCTCATGATCGATCATTACACCAGTCTACTTCCCAATGAATCTTCATTATTTTGTAAATTACGTATCTATTTTGCATCTCTTATACCAGGTTTGGCAATCTATTGTCTTACAGTTTCTTCAATCGATCGGTGTTTATTGACTTCGAGATCGATAAACTGTCGTGCTTGGAGTTGTATCAAAGTGGCTCGCTGCACAGTAGCCATGACTACCATCATCTGGCTACTCTACGGTATACATGTTATCATCTATTATGACGTGCAGATGCTAGGTAACAACACCAATGTTTTCATAAATGTACCTCATAATGATGTCTACATTATTTTTAGTAGCGTCTACGCTCTTTTATGTTACTTACTCATACCCTGTGCAACTATGTTCATTTCTAGTATCTTGGCTATGGTACATATCAAAGCGTTGCAACGTCGTGTGGGAACTTTACAATCCCGACGAATAGTAAACCGTCGTGCCGATCACCATCTGATTATAATGATGTTTGTACAAGTTGGTCTGAGTCTTATCTTTCTCTCGTTTCGCATTGCTTCTCTAATATATTCGTTATTGACAAACAATATAAAAAAGAACATCTATAGACTTACAATAGAATCGTTCATTACTCAGTTAAGTTTCACTTTGTATACCGTCAATTTCTCCAAGTCATTCATCATATACACTCTCACAAGCCGAGTATTTCGTGACGTCTTTTGTGAACGCATCATGGGTTTGTATAGAAAAATACATACTTTCGTAACACATATATTTTCATAGCTGGGAAATTCGAAGTAGTTTGTCGATCATGGATACAATTCTTCGAATCTTTCGATTTCAAAACAAAACACTGAATGTTATTTGTTCACAAGACTGTTTTCAAGTAGTAGCTTTTAATACATAACTATTGAACATTAGTCCATATCTCTACAAGATATCACGTTGTGCACAAATTGAAAAAGTTTCAAAGCACGAACTCTTTGAAGCTTAAAAAAACATCCATGAGTTAATAGAATGTAACGTTTTTTTTTCTCGAAAGCTATCGAAATTTTTCCTAGTGAAATAGTTGATTTTTTTACACCTTTATCTGATTGGTTTCTTTATGAAATTTTCCATGTATTTATCCGAACAAGTTAAATGAGAATGAACAGAATCGCTGTTTTGAAATTTTCTACGATATTGTATCCGACAAAACATTCGCAGTATCAGCCAACATAGTTTATTATGTAAATGTTTCTGATTTGGTACATGTCAACATTGCTAAATACATGTTCAGAAAATAATATTTCTCGAAGCATAATCAATTCAATCTATAATGTCTGCTTTGTTCAAAATTTAGATTTGTTTTAAATAAAAGCATTAAGCACATTTAAATCGTTTTTATTTTTATTTTACTGAGAGAACAAATGAAATATTCATGTAAAGACAATATCTATTTTCCACTTACCGATTAAATGGAATTAATGATTTTATTAAATATTGACAGGATATATATTGTTAGAGCATAATCGTATATTATCAAAGATAAAATAGTAAGTATGAAAGAATAATTCATTTGTAATCTATTATGATCAACTGAAATTATGAGCAAAATGTATTTTTAATATTTGTCAAATCGTTTGAAATAATCGTGTAAATCATTTATAGAATATCTATTAATGTTTATCGTTATTCAATGTGATCGATATTGAAAAAATAAAAGTGCTTTTGGTTATTAGTGTATGAAAGTTTCATAATGAGAATAATAACAGATGTTTGTTTTCGTATGAATAACATCGAACGAAAAAAAAAGTATAAAACCATCAATTATTATTTTATTTATTTCTTTTTTGTATTTTTAAGAGCAAACAAAAATGAAATTGATATTGATGAGCATATTTGTTTTGCTCGGGTTGAACTCAATTGTTAGTGGATTTGTATGCACATCAGATGGACTTTTTGCAAATTCCGATGACAAACATTCATTTTTCCAATGCTCATTTGGTACCCCATTCTTGATGCAATGTCCATCAGGATTAATTTGGAGTGAAGATAAACATGTTTGTGATTGGAATACACCTCAACGTAAATATATTTTCCATTTTTTCAACATTTCTTATGTAGAAAAAAAGAAAATTTAAATAGTTTGCTTGTCATTAGAAAAATAACTATTGATAATAGAAATGTTTACTTTGAGAATTATTTAAATTTTTTTCCAGCTTCCATTAATTGTAATAATAACAAAGTGATAAACTGTCGAGAACATACGACATGGACATCTGATGGTGTTGCCTTTGTGGGTCAAGATACAAATCCGGGTTCAGATTCTCAACATCTTGCATCACCATTTGGTTTATTTATTGATACTGAAAATGAAAATAATCTTTACGTTGCTGATACTGATAATCATCGCATTCAAAAATATTCTCATCAATCATTAAATAACGGTGGTATAACTGTTGCTGGTGGTCATGGAAAGGGAAATGCTTCAAATCAATTAAGTATGCCTCGAACTGTTTATGTTGATAAAGATGAAAATATTTATATTGCTGATGATGATAATAATCGTATTCAACTGTGGTATAAAGGTGCCACAAGCGGTATTACAGTGGCTGGTGGAAATGGAAAAGGTAAAGCATTAAATCAAATAGGTGCCTGTCATGGTTTATTTGTTCATGAAAAAACTAAAACTATTTATGTTTCGGATTTTTATAATGATCGTGTTGTTAAATTTACTGAAGGAAGTGATCAAGGAATTATTGTTGCTGGCACCGGAGTTGGCGGTTCCAAGTCAAATCAATTATTAATGCCACGTGGGATTTTTGTTGATCAATGTGAAACAATCTATGTAGCTGATATGTGGAACAGTCGCGTGCAAAAATGGGGAAAAGATGCAACTGAAGGTATTACTGTTGCTGGAGGACATGAAAAAGGATCTGATGAAAATCAATTAAGTGAACCATGGGATGTTAAACTAGATCAATATAATAATATTTATGTTGCTGATACAGGAAATTCAAGAGTTGTCAAATGGTTACCTAATCAACTTCATGGAGTTACTGTTGCTGGTGGCAATGGTTATGGTATTAAATCAAATCAATTTAAAGACGCTTATAGCCTGGCATTAGACAGGCAAGGAAATATTTTTGTTAGCGAACGATTAAATCATCGAATTCAGATGTTTCAAATCAATGAAACAACAAAAACATGTTAAAGTATTTTTTTCAAAAAATAATCCAAACTTAATTTCAATAAGATTTTTAAATGAATAAATATAATCATTTATTTTTAATTATATTTATATATGATTATGTATAATTAGATTTTTCAATGATTTATTTCCTTTATAAAAATATTCCATCGACTGGAGGTAGGGTTAGACGAAATAAAATAATTTTTATATACCTTTGAATGCAAGTCTATAGAAACTGGCTGTTCTGTCGATCAGATAGTGAGCATAAGTGTGGCATTAAAGTAAACAGAATAAATTCATATGTAGTAGTAATGTACTCTGTTTATTAGAGAATGTCATTACTTTGTGAATATGTCAGATTTGTTGTCTAAATCATATTCAACATTTTCTCGTGTTCTGCTAAATGCTCAACGAATCATTCATTAATTATTAATCCAAATAACGATTTTAATAGTCATTGGAATTTCGTATATAATGCAGTGTATACCAATATTTCATAGATGCACTATGATAGCTCGGTTTGTAAAAAATTAAACATGATAGTTTTCAAATTTTAAAAGACTTTCTCGAAGCTATTTTCTAACAGTGCTATCTTAAATGGCATAAAATTCTGAATAAAATGAGGAGTCATCGCATTTTCTACGATCTTCATCTAAATAATTACAAGCAGCAGAAAAACCGAGGAAAAGTCGAGTTTTAGCATTTTTTGAAAAATTTCGATGTTTCTCAGTTTTTGTGTTGCTTATAACTTTTTAAAGGAAGATTTCAGTCGAAACCTTGCCATCATAGTGTATCTATAAAATATTGATATACAATGCATCATATAGAAAACTCCATTGGCTATTAAAACTGGTATTTGGATTAAAGCTAGGTGCTTAGTATTATTGAAAAAAATCAAAAATACATTTGTGTTTAAACTTTTGTCTTTGACTATAAAAAAGATAAGAAAAAGCAAGTGTATGATGTTGAAGAAAATAAATTAATTTTGAAAACAGAAAAGACTGTTTTAAATGCATACGTTAATATAAAGATAGATGATGTTTTTTTTATGAAATATTAAAAATAACGTTTAAATTATTTTAATGATATGAGAAGATTCATTTTTTATTATCAAAGAAAAAGAAAACAAAGTGTTCAAATTAAATTAGTTTACTGGATTTTATGTAACTTATTTTTTATTTGTTTTCATTTGATGATCAGATGATTTAGTTGATGGCTGAAGTAATGATGAATCCTGATTTGAAGATTGATTAGTAAAAAATGTTGTTTTTTTGACAATATGATCAGTATTATCATTATTTATTTGTTGATCATCTTCATCAAAAATAAATAAATTTTCAGATTTATTTGATCCAACTTTGTCATAAAGAGTTATATTAATTTGTGTTTTTATTTGTGCACCTAAATGTTGAATATTTGAATTAGTTGAAACTGCATTTATTTCATTAACAATCGAATCAATTTTTTCTGAAGCTTTTCTTTCTTCATCAGACCTAATTTGATTTTTAATTAAATTAGCTTGTTCATTAACTGCACGAATTTTAATTTGAGATTCATTAAAAATTTGTAAACGTTGTTCTTTAAGTTGTTCTTGTATAATAGCTAAGTGTTGTGCTCTTTTTTCATCTAATTTAGCAAGAAATTCTGCTAATAAGGATCTATATTGTTCTTCTTCAAGAATTTGTTGTTCTTTAGCTTGAATTAATAAACCTTGTTGACTTTTTTGAGTTTCTTGAACAATTTGTGAAAGAATTGATTCTGTTTGTGTTGTTATTTGTTGAATTCGACGTTGAACTATTTGATCGAAATCTATATGAGTTTGTTTTAAATTGGTCATTAATGTATCTAATCTTTCTGATGTTGTTAAATTATGAATTGATTCAAATTGACTTGTTAATTTTGATTGAACTTCTGCTGATTCATATTGACTGGAATGTTTTGTTACTAAATGTTTATGATTTGTTTCTTTTTGATCATGTTGTATATCTGTTAAGCCAGATTTAATTAATTGTTCAAATTTTGATGATAACTAAATATGAAAGAAAAATTATTTAAACAATTTAATTATTTTGAATTTTTTATTTTTTTTTTAAAGAATATATATTTAGATATATAATCTTGTCTCTATCATTTACTGTTTATCAAATATTATTTTATTATCGATTTATTAGATAAAAAATTGTTTAGAAAAATCTCTACAGTTTTTTTTTCGATAGATTAAATAAGAATATATAAAACGATATTTAACATAATAATATGCTGATTATTATCTCAAAATTCTATTCGAAATTTCTAATAAAATAATTAATAAATGTTTCTTTTTGAAAAAGTCTTGCTAATAAACACTTTTTTCTAAAAACAAAGGCTCTCCCATTTGATTATCTAATTAGATATTTATTTCAAACCTTTCCATCTTGTTCCCATATAGATGCGTATTCTTCTAAACTCGAATTTGTTAATGAATTTCGTTTATGTGGTTTCGGTAACCATGGTGACGGTTGAGATGAATATGGTCTTCGTGGATAATTTGTAGGCTGTGGTACCACTGGAGGTGAAGGAGTTTGTGCTCTAGCTTTTGATGCTGATGGAACTTGAGTTTGTCTACTTACTTTTTGATTACGACTTGAACCGGTGCCCATTTATCACAACTTTACTTTTTAATTATAAATTATTGTAACACGATTTCAATACCTAATTTAACAAAAAAATTTTCAGAATAAATTAATTTTAACAGATCCAAGAAGATAATAATCAAATATGATCTCATCCATTTCTTGATGATGTTTTTATTTCGGATTAGAATTAATCGATAGAACATCAATATGAAAACCTATGAAGCACTACTCTCATTCAATTTGCTTAAAATAGCTTACCATTGTTGATTTAATGAGTCCTTCTATATATATATGAATATGTCAGATTAAGAATTCGATTGATCGATTGAATTCAATGAATGAATGATCTTATCTGACAACTATCTTTTGCTATGTTTCATAAATTTAGAACATTATTTATATTTATCATTCAAATGAGGCTATTCGATAATGGTATGTTGAATTGTGTTTGAAATCCAATTGAAGTAACCATCTTCTTTTACTTGTCTTTTTCTCTTGATAAAAGACTCTTTGCGTATAAATGGATACAGAACAAGAAGTAAAATTGAGAAAAGAAGTACAACAAAAGTCATACGAATAACTGAATCATGAATATGAAGAATATACTTGATTCATAATATATACAAAAAGATACTTGTCAGATGAGATGAGACAATAAATTCACTGAATGCAATCAATTAATCTGATTCGTAGTCTGGCAGATTCATATATAATAGAAGCATTTGTCACATGAAGACCAGTAGTACTTTCACTTTCTTTTTAATTTTAGAAAGAAAAATTAAAACGTTTGATATTGCGAGAAATAAACACGATCTTTATTATCAACTACAAGTTGAATAAAACAATTACTATAAAATCAGTAATTCTAATGGATATTTGTTTCCACATCCTTTTCTCTCTTACTGCAAGTTATATTCCTGCTGTTGCTGTTTTCATATCTATTTGTCTCATTTAACTAACCTTTTCGATCTTCGAACACTACTCCATTGTACTTCGCTTAATTCCAAATATTTTCTCATTGTTTATTCTAATAGGAAAAAAAGATTAAGCATTAAGCCAGTTCAAATCTCGAATAATTTTTTTATATTTGTTAAAAAAAAGAAATGAATTAGAAAGAAAAAAATTTTCTTTTCTTTTTGTATAATCTCCTTAGAATAAATTTCCTTTAATTTCGAAATAATTAAAGAATTTTTCAGTAGTTTAAAAGAGATTTTATATATTCATACATGGTTTATATATTATCCAATCAGTTCAACTATCGTGTTTCGCCAATTATTAAGAAAAAACTTATAGAGCGAGAAAATTGAGGCACATTATCGAATTTTAACAGTCTTTGTCATAATAAAATATATGGTAGAAAAAGTCGACTAGCTCTAGAACGCAAACAGCTGTCAACTTGCGGTTTGCAACACTTGACAGCGAATACTGGTGGACTTCAATCTATGCTAAATTCAGAGATTTGGAAGATGACTCTAAGGATTTTCTGATAGAATCTTGCGAAAATCACTATACTGATCCGAAAAGCTTTATTTCAGTATTTAGTCAAAATCATCTATCTTGTAGTCTAAGGTTTGCTCTGCAAAGTCACTCAAGTCACAGATGTGTTCGTTTTTTCGTTTGCCTGGTAGACTTCACAAGCCGAGACTGCTATCAAACATGCTTTATTGTCCAGCTCAGTTCATATATGCAAGAAAACATAAGTTTTAACTCATGCTTAAGTACGTAACAATGTTTGTTTTCTTTTCTATATAGATCATCGGTCAATTAGCTAAGATTAATAAAACAGGTGATTTTTAGCTGCTCCTACTTTTCAATGATATGATCAAAGCTCAACGTCTGTAAAACTACCGCGGCAGAAAAAGCTATTGTCATATTAAAAAGAAAACCGATAGGTTTTCTAACATCTCACTGTTGTAGAGAGGTGTCTTAGATGTCTATTCTAGAACTTTGATCTACAAGATCTTATGAGGTAGATGAGCTTCGATCATATCATTGAATGGTAGGATGAACCAAAAATCACTTTTGTTTGTTCATCTTTAATCTTTCTAGAAAAGGAAACAAACAGTGTCATGAGACTCAGCATGAGTAAAAACCAGTGTTTTGAAAATTTGAGCGCGTTCGACTAAAATAGAGTGCTTTTTAGGATTTTCGACGAGTTAAGTCTACCACTCGAACGAAAAAACAAAAAAATGTACGACTTGCGTGACTTTTTAGAGTACATCATGGACTAGAAAATATATCAATCAGTGTAAAAACCAGAATAAAGCTTTCCTAATCGGTAAGACGGTTTTTCGAAAATGTTACTAGAAAATCTTTAGAATTATCATCTAAACTTTTGAGTTCAGTCAATATTGACCATTCTATATTGAAAAGGAGAATAATCACATTTGAATAGCAAATGTTTACTCCTCTATTCGGGTAAAGATTTGAGAAAATCCAACAAAACGAAAAAGTATTCGACCGATAAATTGCATTATATAAAACTATGTAGTTAATCTTCATCGACATTTCGCTTTTCTATATCTTGAGAGAAAAAAACAACATGAACAAGCAAAAATGAGGATTTGCAGCTAAAAATCGATGCTATTTCATTTTCTATGTTTTTCTCTGTGATATATATGTGTACATTGTTTATTATATTTTGTTTCATTTTGAAATAATGAATAGAAATAGAAAAGAAAATTTAAAAATAAGAAAAAACCATCCTTCTCTTTAAAAATATTTGTTAATAAAATTAAGATGTGCGTGATGTGACCAACAATATATATTTTTTTTTGGACAAAGGAAAGTGAGATTGTTACCCCTAAAAATGACCTTTTTCCCTTCTTAGACTATTACACAATGAAAAATTTTTATGAATTATTCAAGATCTATTTTGAGAGAAAAAAAACTATATTAGAAGAATAGTTCTTCATTAAACAAACGAGTTATTCGTATTTGATTTAATGATCAATGAGAAATTTTACTCAAACATATAATAATAAATATTGTCAATATGGAATCAATCGAAAAAATAATTTTATTGTTTATCATGGAATATTTCAATTTATGACTACAAAATAATTTCAATAAGATGGTTACTAACGCATAAAAAAGAGATGATTCACGAAAAAATATTGAGTAAAAGAAATATATAGGGAAATATGTGAAGAGAAGAGACATAAGTCAATACATTTTCTTTTTTAAAATAGTTCAATTAAAGAATAGGTTAAATGACATGAGTACAGACGCCTAAGGGTGAATCAATCATTTTATTCATACATGTTTACTTATTGACTAACAAATAAATATCGAAATATTTATATATTGCATTTTTTTTTTATGAACAATTTTTTTTATAAATTAAAATAATAAAAAACAAATTTTTAATTTTCATATCTATTCTTATATAAAAATTGATTTTTGCTTTTCTTGTGAAAATGTTTTTTCTTTGTTATATTGAATTCTTTCCCAACGAATAAAGGCAAACGTAGAAAATATATAATTGAAAGATGTTAGTTTGAAAAATCGATTTTTTTTAATTAAAAATAAATCAAAAATTGATTACCGTTGATAACGATGAGAATAAAATAATGTCAATTAAATATTGTTCGTCTATATATTGTCTTTTATAAAATACATCAATAGAATAAATGTAAAAGTGATTGTTTGGTAATCACTATGGAAGAACAAATGAATTCGATTGTCATGAAACAACGTTTTTTTTTTAAACATAACAATCAAACTAAAAGAACAAATATTATTTTGTTGTCTTTCTTTTACATGTCTATTATAAATTGGACATTTATTAAAAAGTAATAACAATTTCTCATCTTTTATCTATAATTAATATTCAAGTATTCTCATTTGATTTTCGATCAAGTTTGTTAAAATAAATTTCTCATCATTGAAAAATTTTTCCTATGAACTACTATTGATTTTGAAATGAAGATAAATTATTTATTTTGATTTTATTTTAAATATTTCTATCATCATTTTGTCGTTGAAGTAATAAACGTTTCTCAGCATATATCACAAAATTCCTCGATTAAATCATGATAGGGTTGATTCGACGCTTCAAAGTTCGGGAGCGGGAAGGGAATAATGATAAACTCTATTGAAGATGTTGACAATTTTTATTGACAGACTGGATTAACAGGAGTCATCATGGTAGGATCATCAAGTATTATAAGCTATTTTTAATAGGATTTATACCAATTTGGAAAGCTCGATCAGATCGGAAGAATTTATCTCAATGCAATATAAGAACATGAGATTGTTCATTTTTGAACGACGTTTTCAAAGAGCTGTTTAATGGATTATCTTTTCACTTTAAAGTTTATTAATACAACAAAAAGCAAGAACATTGGTACAGATTAAATCTTCGATGGAATAAGGTAATATTAAATAAGAAGGACACAGGTGTCACTGTACCAACTGTAGTTTCACTTATTTCATTAGTGGAAAACAAAGAAAACAACAAACCATAGAGTAACTTCCTTTTCTTTTTATGTATTGAACAAGAAAATATCTGATTTCTTTGCTGTTCTCTTTCATATAATTTAATATGTAGATACTCGTTGCGTATCTACTTTTTCACATTTTAACTAGTCAAATACGAAAAATTTTCAATAACTGTCTCTTTGTCCCTTCACTTTCCTTGGTCGAACTTAACGTTCAATGGTCATTTGAATAATACGTCAGTATAAACCAAGGTGTAAGAGACATGATTATGAATGGTTGTATATAATGCGATGCGGTTAAAACTGGTCACTGTACACAGTGTAATATGTTTCAACGCAAATAATGTTAATATGGAATGTAAACGACTGTAATAGACAATCGGGTTTTGTCATAAGTTAGCGTTAGATCGAATTACATTTATCAATCATATAACTTTTCCAATTTGAATCCAGTAACCAATGCAATAATAAATAGGATATTAAATAAATAATTTTATTTTTTGTTTATTTAAATGAAATTGAATAGAACCTTTTTTTTCAAATAAAAAGATAAAATTGCGTGCATTTATGATTAGATGGAAA